TACCGTTAAGTCCTATGTGATTTCTGCTTTGGTGGGTTTAAGCAGAATTTTAAATGTGTACATGCTATGTGCTGGATCTAGCTACAGAGGAGTGAATGTCACCCTACATGCATAATGCAGATGAAATGTAATTTTCTCCCTTAATGTAATCTGTATTTGGTCAGATCTATTTCTGTCTTCAACAATTCTGCAAAGAGTTTAACCTCTCCATTAAATTATGGTCAATATTTAGGGTTTATTTTTTTTATACAAATACATCAGTAAATGAGTTTCCTCACACTGACCTGGCCTATGTTAAAGTTATTTACATAACCACTATATATATTTCACAAATGACAGGACAAGGTCTCCTTAGAATCCTACATTGACCTGCCTGTCATTCTGATGGGGTAAACAGTATCACCTTTCCAGTTCACAATGAATTACAGAGAAGTAGCAAAGCACACCATCCATCACACTGGCATTAAATAGGTTTTTGAAGTAGATTTCAGATATCACAAATGCTGTTTAGACTGTTACCAGAAAGCACAAATTGGATAGCTCATATAAAATGGTCATATGATGAATGGACATGATGGGTCTTCAAAGCAAAAGAACATGGTTATTCTGCGCATAACCTTGTCAAAACTAAAAACAGACTATAGCTCTTCCTGTACCCAAGCTACAATGACCTAAGAATTGTTTAATGGCTTAGCTTGCTGCCAATTCATATGAATAAAATGTACAGATAAAACAGAAAAAAAAGGAGCAAGGATGAATCATTAGTATCAGAACTGCAACTACTTTATGAATCATAAATTCTATGCAAAATTATCCACTGTTAAGCATCTGCATCACATTTGGAAAGTAAATTATTTAATAGAAAAGGAAGGGTGTTTTTTGTTTTGTTTTACAACAGGGGCATGAAACTAACTTAGGGCCCTGGGCTGGATCTAGACCATAGAGCTCCTGGTGAGCTGGATCCAGCCCAGAACAGGAGGGCTACACTGTAGAAGCAACAGCTGGGTAGGGGCTGGCACCAGTGGGTGCAGGGGCAATGCAGGGTCCAGCAGCAGTGGAAGCACAGGGTCCAGCAGGGAGGAAGGTCGTGCAGGGTCTAGCAGTGGCCAGAGTGCAGGGTATGATGGTAGCAAGGGCAAGAACAGGGCAGTGCAAGAGTGCAGGCTCCAACAGGGAAAGCCAAGCTCACTGCTAATGGCTAGGCTCAACTGCGCAACTTCCAGTGCCCTCTGGTAGTCCACGTGGGCCAGAAAGATAGTTGTGTGTTTGACACCCTTGTTTTGTAACATATATTTTTACATGTGATCATGCCTCCCCCTAATGTCTTACTCTGATAATTTTAACAACTTTCTACTTACTGATTAAGTATTTGAACACAAACAGCAGAGGCTTACTCTTTAGATGCCAATTACATCACTGCCAATAACTATATAGTTGAAACATATACCATATGGTTTATGTCTTATTACCAAATGCCATCATGGGTGATATTTATACTTTGTGGTAGGGAGTACTCGGAGGTCAAACTGCAGATCCACTGCAGTTTTCTGGATGCTTGATGTATCTCTAGTTGTAAACCCTAGCATAGTTAAAATATTTATTCCTTTAGGTGATACAAACTTGTCTTTTATTTTTGATACTACAAAGTCCAGAAGTCTACCCTTAGTGATACCTGTACAGTAGCAGTCTGTGTATATGTGTAAGGGCAAATGCATGGTTCACTATGCAGTGGTCATAGTATAATAGAGAACAATTCTGAAATAAGACCTGTATTGTAGCTTATGGTAAAAATAAAACTTTGTTTTACCAAGGCCTCTGTCAGATGTTATATTTAAGATGCAATTAACCAGTTAATGTGTCTTAAAGTGTAACCTGGTCACATGTTCAGGCAAGTAATGGTATGACAAAAAACCAAAAACTGCCACAAAATGATTACACAAAGATGTAAACATGGCGTCCCCCCCGCCTTGCCTCAGAGTGCTAGCAGGGAGATTGGGTCTGGCAACACTCCCACCCCTTAAGCAGTGAGCAGGGAAAAGCATGGGATGGTGCAGGCAGACCTCCTTAATCAGAGGTCCCACTGGGGCCTGGCCACGCCCCCCTCAGGTCAGCACTGTGTAAGGGAAGAGAGGGCTGCTCTAGCATCCCCAACCTTCTAGCCTGAGCCACTGCAGAGAGAATGTTTCTCCAGTTACAAACTGGTTCAGCCTAGCCAGGCTAGAGTAACCTGCAAAGGTTGAATCAATTCAGCCTCAGGCTATTTGAGTGTCTGTCCCTAGCCTAAAAGGACTGTGTGGCAGGGTAGACAGCACTGGGACTCAAACAGGCCCTGGTGCAGTCCTCATGCTGCTGCTGAACACATAATGAATGGTCAGCAGGGACAGTACTGTGCCTGGTTCAAGCCTGGGGGCAGTTCCAATCTAGCTGATCTTTGACCAGCTCCAGGAACTCAAAGATACCCAGTGCATCTCCACAGCCAACTGACAATCAGTTGATTGTTGGGCACCTTTGCTGGCACAGAAGAAGTCCAGGATCATGATTCCAGGCTTCCCCTGTACTGGCAAATGGCCCACAACTGGGATCTGATCCATGATCCCACATGTAGCATGGCACGCAGAGCAATTGCTGGCATCATGAATCCAATCCCATCATGTCTTTAACTGAACATGCGTCAGTGGCCCCAGAGTATGAACATCTCCAGAGACACTGGATTTCTCATAGCCTCAAATTTATCAGGCCCTTGATTGATCAAGAACACCTGTGCACTTATGGGATTCATCTCGGAGATCAGAACTTTATGGTTCATGTTCAGGGCCTATTATAATAAGGTGGTGCTGCATATTATTGAAATCTACCAGCTGATAAGATGCCCACAGTGCTTTACATCATATTAATAAATGCAAACACTTTGCTCAGAAATTATGTTAATTTACCTATTGGCTGCAAGACTGGAATACTGAGAACAGGGTTGCTCTAAGGCTATGTAAATTTTGAAAGTTCACTACCAAGTATTACAAAGATATCATGAGCAAACTGAACAGAAATCAGGTTGCATTAATGGTTATCCAAGCCACAAACGTGCTGTCATCTTAGAGATGAGTAATTAATGGAAGACAGAGAATACCTTTATTTGGCAGGAGGAGGTATGGAGAAGGGGGGAAGGGCATCTCTTCAAAGTTCAATTTTCTTTATACATCTCTGATAACTTAATGTTTTAATCATGAAATGTTGTAGTTTGATAAAAAAATTAAGTGAGAGACCAGGGTGATGTATCTTGTGGTGCAGAGGATGAAAGATGGCACTAATAAAAACCCACCCTTGTTTTTTCATGCATATTTATTCAGCCTCACAACACCCCTATGGGCAGGTAAATGAGGAACATCATTGTAGAAACCAAGGCAGAACCAGGATTATAATTCAGGAGTCCCTAGGAACTAGGTCTGTGCTCAGACCATTCTTCACTGAAAAGAACATTCTCTGACTCTTGCTGTATAGTTCCCTCAAGCCCACAGAAAACTGAATCACAAAAAGTAGGGCTGGATCCCTGGAGATCATTCAGCCTGACCTTCTGCTCAAGGCAGGAACAGCCCTATCTAAACCAACCCAGGCTTGTCTAACCTTCAATGACAGAGGTTTCACAGACTTTAAAGAATCTGTTCTAGCACCTGCATAGCTACAGCATTCTTCTTAATATCTAACCTAGCTCTCCATTGGTACAGTTTAAAGCTATCCTAGCCCTGCCCCTGTGAGGACAGAAATCAATTGTTCGCCATCCTCTTTAAATTAACCCTTGTTGTATTTGAAGACTTAGCAAATCCACCCTCAGGCTCATCTTCTCCAAACTAAGGAATCAGTCTTCCACCCATTCCTCATACATCATGCTCTTCTGATGTCTAATCATTTTTGCCAATCTGCAGTGGAGTTATTCACACCTCCTTCTTGAAGAGTAGCACCTAACACTGTGCTCCTAATAAGGCTTGTGCTGAATAGAGTACAACAGGGCTGTTTAACTTCTGGATGGCCAGTGGTTCCCTAATTTCCCCACCACTGCACAGGCAGCCGGGCTCCATTCCCAGCTGTGTGGGTAGCAACAGCAGCCCCGCTCCACCACTTGCCATCCCATATACATCATGGGCAAATTTGCCCTTTTCCCTGTGCAGATAGCCTGGATCTGCCCCTGTTGTGCCTGCCCCAGGAGTGGTGGCAGGAAACATGCTGGAGAGAGAGGCTGAAGATCCCAGCTACTGCAGCAGCAGGAGTGATGACAGGGAAGAGCAACAGCTAGGCAGGAGCCTGGGGGACTGCATTTTACCCCTGACTGCCGGTTGGACACCACTGGAAAAGAAGTGTCCCTTCTCATGACTTGCATACAATATTCCTGTTAATACATCCCTCTATGTCAGAAGGGATTTTTCACAACGATATTTACTCCTGCCTCATATTCATCTTGCTACGCAATGTAATGCTCAGATCCTTTTTGCGGAAGCCTAGCCCCATTTTGTGTCTGTGCATTTTATTGTTCGTTCTGAAATGTAGCACTTCTTATTTGTCCTTACAGAAACATAATCCCATTTATCTCAGATCATTTTTCCATTTCATCCAGATCATTTTGAATGCTAATCCTGTCCTCTAATGCATCTGCTACCCCACCCAATTTGGTGTCCTTTGCAAATTTAGTAACCATACCCTCAAATCTATTCGCCAAGTCATTAGTGAAGATATTCACAGTGCTGGGCCCCAAACAGATGCCTGAATCCCAGTTGATGCCTCCTCTCCAGATTCCTTTATCCAATTAAAATCAGAAAGGTCCAGTCCTTCAGCTGAAACATCCCCAGCCTCATTTCAAGGTCTGAGAGGAGGTTTGTGCTTATTTGCTAATTTCTTGTCTGAGCATTCCAAGTTCATTTCCATGATTACTAGTTTCCCGGTTAGAGTTCAGTGAAAACCGTTGATTTCTAATTCTATTCCCCATAAATGACAGAAACAAATGGTCACATTACCTCAAGAGTTCCTTTGGCAGAATAAGCAGCATATGAATACAGGAGGTCTTGGCTGCGAGGCTTTCTGGTGTCTGTGTTACACTGCAGTCCACTAGGATAAAAGCATTCGCCACTTTTTTTCAGAGTCACTGTATTTGAAGAAGAGCCCGGTACATCAAGCAAGACAGAGTAATTTACTAGCTGAACATCTTCGAGGCCACGAGAAGTCCAGTGAACCAGAAGTTGCATTGCAATGTCTGTATCTTCTTTTCTAGGCAACTGTGTCAAATCTCTGGGGGGGGAAAAAAATACATTATTTTCTCCCCTCAATATCTGTTTACCTGGACTAGATAAAACAGTTCACAATCTCAATAATGAGAGGCATGGAGTTCATGAGAGACGCCATGTAGTACACTATAGCACCTTTTTATCTTTGCAAGTATTTCCTTAGCAGTGATCAGAAATACATCTCTCTCTCTGTACATCTACATATAGCTTTATGGGAAAGGATAATTTTGCTCTCTAGGAACCAAGTATCCTATTAGAATCCTAAACGATACCACAGAAATAATTCATATTATGTTATTATATTAAAAGTATTTACAATTTACATGCAAAAATGTGCATTTTCATGCTGAAGTTTTTACTTAGTGAATTTCTGAATGGTTGTTTTATTGGTAGATCAGGGTACAGAGTTATTTTTAGTGAAAATATGCATCTATTCACCTCAAACCTGATTAAGCTTGTATGATGGAACTTCATTTGGGGGTTTAAAGTGTTTTTAAAAGTATTAAATACACTACACAAAACTTCAGCAATTGGGTACATTTTACAGACAGGAAATGTAAGTCATACAGCAGGTCAGTAATGAGTGCATTATCACCAGCAGTTACATTGACAGAGCTTGCTGTGGAATTCAGTAGTGAAATGTTAGCCCCATTGAAGTTGATGACAAAGCTCCTTTTAACTCTAGTGGAGCAATACTTTTAAATCATTAAACTAAGCCTAATTTTAAATATGATAAAATAAAATAAAATTAAAATTCCAACAGTCTAGAAAATTGTGCAGATAAGCCCCACATTATTATTTAGTAAAAAATCTGAACTAAAATTACAAAATTATTCAGAAGCTCATTTTAGGGAAAAGAACTATACTCATTTTGTATTACGCCTATATGAAATTTTCTTTCTTGTAATCCTATCAAATTACAGTCCTCCAAAAGAAACAGTTTGAAGTCAAATTTTAAAAATATGCAAAAAAGAAAGGGCTTTTGCGGTACGTCTGTTCAGCGAACTCTATTTTCCGCCCCAATTTATTTTCAGTCACATCTATTAATTATTATTTATCATCCAGTAGTGCTAAGCAAAAGTAGCACAAAGAAGGCCATGGTCTCAGCCCTCAGGCTCTTTCAATTTACTTGAAACACAGCACAGTTCCCAGTGTATTCCACTGTAAAGAAGTAAGCAGAATGCACTTTGAAGAAACTCAAAGCTCAGTGATAACTCAACATGTTGGGAGTAGCCAGATTCTTCAAAATGGATTTATAACAGAGAAAAAGCAAACCTTAATATTCTCTAGATAACACTAGCGTGTTCTCTTCCCCACCAAAGTTTCTAGTTTTAAAAATACTTTGTAGAACACGCAAGCAACAATTTTTCTTGTGATACTGCATCATCACCTTAAAATCTGTTTAATATAGGAGTATTCATGTAAAGTAATTTTGCAAAGGGGCAATTGTGTGGGGAAGGAAGAGAGCACTGGAAAATTCGTTAGAATGATATATTTGACCTAAATTCAGCAAGCAAAGCACCTGCAAAGCAGAAAAGAACTGTGCCACCAAAACATCCTAATATATTATTTGCATGAAAGTTTTCCTCGGCCTTCATACCTACAATGGAGAGATGCCTGTGCCAGTATCCTGGCAGGCAGCATAATGAAGTGTCATGCAGAAAACCTGAGTCTAGAAGCGATTTTGGCAATATTGTTCCATAGGCCAGCAGAGACCGTGAATGGGTTGTTTTTGGCTTCCATGGGCAAAATACAATTTCTATCACTGCTAAACACCTGCTACTGGATGGTCTACAGGCTGCCAATGACAAGAGACCTGAAGGAAACAATGAATTTAGTTTTACCAGCTCCAGAGCTAATGGCAAAGAAACATACTTGTAGAAAGTGTGCTAAGGATGGAAAGGAAATCCTGAAAAGAAACTACTAAGTCTTCTTTTTTTTTGATACGTAAAAGGCTTGCCATTGCTCTCCCAGGAGAAACCATGAGTGTACAGGATTTTTCTCCTAGAGTAAAAATGGCAACTACAAGAGAAAAATAACCTGGGAACAACCAGAGTTAAATTACTCTTAGGAGAGTTTCTCCTGGGACAGCAAATGTCTGTATACACTGTGGCTTCTCTCAGAGGAGAGCATAGTCTTCCAGCATCCCTCCTGAGAGAGACGGTATCACTTGCTGGACTCTGCTGCTCCAGCAGAGAGCAGAACATGCCACCTTCATGATCACCACACTGTGCAGCAGGGAAACACAATGAACATAGATTGTCTGGGTCAACCAATCAGGGCGGCCCTATGCAGTGCTGCTATCTGTTTCCAGGCAGATCTGTTACATGCACAGGGTCTCCCCTGCAGCTGCCCAGTGTCAGCACTACAAGCTCTCCACTCCTTAAGGCCTCAACATTTAAATGTATGTACACACAGCTCTGGATCAGTTCCCCAGATTACTTGAATATGTGTACACAGCTGCTATCATTACTTCAGCTGCATTTGGTATGTAAAAACATAATTAAAAGGACTGAGACTCAGAGATAGAACCCCAATGACATATTAGCATCCAAACAACCACATAATTGAGAGCTCTGCTTACAGCTACCTGGAACTCCTTACAGCAGCTTGTTACACACTAGATTTGGTATGTTCAAAGGCCAAATTCTTAAAGGTATTTATTTTTCTAACAACCTCTAGTGATTTTTTAAAAAGCATCTATACAATTATTTCGTAAATCAATAGCTGAAAAATGGACAGCTGTTGAAAACAATGACTGAAATCAACAACCTTTTGAAAAGTTTACTCAACATCTATCTATCTACATTTTTAGGAACCACAATCACATTTTAAAAGGTGGTCTAACTGTCCATAGAAAACATTGATTTCAACAGGTTTGGATCGGGAGAGTCAGAAAGGAAAATGTGTCAGTAATAGGGTGGCCATCAGAGAGGACAGTCCGGTTATCCTCTGCCAAAAGAAAAAGAGAGGACATAAAGGTGTCAGATTTCGTATCAATAGAGGACAGAGTAGCAGAAAACTGGAACGTCCTCTATGATGGCCACCCTAGTCAGTAACCTAGCACTTACACATCTATTACCAATACTAATTTATAGCTTAGTAGTCCATTAATTAAGTAACATTGACTACACACACATTAGCACAAACTTAAAATAAATAGAAACATAATACCACATTACAATAGTGATGAACTATCCACTGTCAAAGATAATACATCATAGCTGAACAAGAGAGTTCAACAGTAGTACCACAGTGGGGCATAAGTTATAGCATATGGATCTTAATAAATAAAAGTCTACTAAAATAAATTATATAAAATACATATTAGAATCAAATCTGCTACACTGCCAGTTACTAGTACTGAAAGTTCAAATATTCTTACAAGAGCACTGGGCTTATGTTAAAGACTTCAGAGATTTTGTCAGGAGGAAAAATTATCAAAGGTCACTCTTCAGATTTAATCTTCCTAATTTATCGAAAATAAGTCTTCAAGCAAGCTACACAAAATGGACAAGTTAATCCAATCAGTAGTATATTACAAGTCTCCAATTTCATCGGCTGAGCCTTCTAATGCAATGACATATACTTGGAGAGTGTAGAAACATACAAAGTTGTTTGATTAACACAGTCAGTACCTGAAGATCCACATTTCCCACAGGTGCTAGCAACATTAATATAACAAATAAGCAAAAGCCACCCAAATCATGCAAATTAGATTGTGGCACACTTCAACAAGCAGGCTGCTCCAATAAAAGTTTGATATAAAAAAAAAAAAAGGCAATTCAAATTGTTCACTTAATAATAGAACTAAAGACAGTTTCCACTCCATAATTAAATCAGCATTCCTTTTAAACTTTCGCGACAATATATGTGATTAAATTAAAGAAATGAGCATACTCACTATTTATTTTTTAATTTCCGTTCACTTAATAATAGAACTAAAGACAGTTTCCACTCCATAATTAAATCAGCATTCCTTTTAAACTTTCGCGACAATATATGTGATTAAATTAAAGAAATGAGCATACTCACTATTTATTTTTTAATTTCCTTACAGCACATCAAAAATCAAATTACAAATCATAGCACAAGTTGTATTAAAACAACTGAGCAAATATGAGGTTCCTTTCATAAGGTTTGTACAGAACGCAATGTAGCAAACATTTGTGGAAGAAAGAAATACTGTGCCAAATTACTCTCTAGTAAAAGTCTATAAAGCCAGTGTATTTACATCAGAAATAAATTTGTTCCATTAAATTTATGACATACTGCCTCCAAGGCAGAAACGGTATTTTTAACAACATTCCAAATTCTAAAACCCAGAAAGTACTTGAAGATTGTTCCTTATCAGTTAATGAGAAAACCAGCTTTACACCTCATATCAAATTACCTTTGATACTCTTACTAAAGTAAGCCCATTTCCTTTTTTTTCTCTTTTGAATATTGATAGAATATTAAAACCGGCAATAAGATAAGACATGTGAGCTATAAGAAGGAACATGTCTTCTGGATCATTATGAGGCTGCCTGAGATACTAATACCCATACCTGGTATTAGGCAATACTTCATTCAACAAATTGCTCCACTGAAATTATTGAGAATACTCGTGAAGCAAGCGACCAGATCTTCAGTAGCTGTAAATCTACGTAACTCTGTGGAAGATAAAAGAGCCACAAGAAATTTATGACTTAGCCTGATGCACTTACAGGGATTAGAATCTGACCCAAGTATATTTAATGAATAAATACAACAATCAAAATAATGCACCATCTTTCCTCCAGAGATCTCAAGGAGCTGTTCCAAGATTAATTAAGGTTTAAAAACACTGGCATAGATGGATCTTGAATACCCTATGCAGCCTCAGTGAAGACAACAGGAGAGTAACTAGGGATGGACAGCTGGGTCACTAACCCTTGGCATCAATATTGAGGAGGTACAAAAATGACAGCAGCTGCCAATGCCCAAGACACACAAAGTGCTTGTTACACCTGCAGAAAATTA